AAAAAAAAAAAAAAAAAAAAAAAAAAAAAAAAAAAAAAAAAAAAAGGCAAAACCATGAGACTAATATAAACAGCACGAAAAAGCAGCAAAATTCAATGAAGTGCAATGAATACTCTTGGTTCCAAAAAACAGAGGGGGCCCCAAACCCCCACTTATTTCAGGAGAGAGTGACTTGTTCCAAGTTACAGAGAGACAGCAGTAGAAAGAAGAATGCTTGGGCACCAAAAGACCTGTGTTCAAATCCTGCCTCTAACACTTATTATTTGTGTGACCTGTAGCAAGTCACTTTAACTTCCTCTAGGTTATAGTTTCCTCATGTATAAAATGACAGGTTTTGGAGAGATGGGCCCTAAGATCTCTTCCTGGTCTATATCTCTGAACCATAGATAGGATGAGGGGAACAGGTATGAAATTTTACGTATATTATCAAACAGTGTAATCTTGTTATTTGGTTTTGCTTAATTTTTTTTTAAATAAAAGGTAGGTTTCAAGGTGGGAGGAGGAAGTATATAGGGAAATGATATAATTTTAAAAGGATTTCAGTGTAATAAAAGTCTGCCCTCACTGCCTGTCCCTTTCAAAATATTGTGCTAGACTGAGGCCTCTGAAAAGTCCCATAGTCTTACATTGTTCAGAGTACTTGTAACTTCTTTCAAGCCTGGTAGCAAGAGGCCCCAACTCACCCACAGTGTAGACATTAACAGGCCACCTTGACCTTGACACCTGACCTTGAAAACCTGTATTAATATCTGACCTTGAAAACCTGTGTTAACTGAAAAGCAACTAACCTGGGGAGTGGTATTTATTGTCTGTGGAGTCAGCAGAAGGAAGCATAAGCATAACATCAGGTTGTACAGCCAAAAGGCTGAGTTTTCCAGGGGGGGAAGTATAATATCTCTGGGATCTCTCCGGGGAAGGAAACAGGACTCAGCAGATTTTAGTGAGGAAAATGTTGGTGAGGTATTTAATTTAACACACATTTATACAGTGTTTAAAGACTTCCAGTGCGCTTTCCTCATAAACGTCTGATAAGGTAGGCAATTCGTATTCATAGTCTTACCCCCATTTTACAAAGGCAGGTCATCGCTCAGAGAAGAGAGAAGGCTTGCCCACCTTCACACAGAGAATTCCAGAAGACTGATGATGACCATGCTGTCTGTATCCTGACAGAGGTAACTGAGTCAGGGTACCAAAATGAGATATGCATTTTTGGACACACACACCGTAGGAACTGATTTTGCTTGACTATGTGTATTTCCTCCTAGGGTTTTGTTTTCCTTTCCTTTGTCTTTTTTTCTCCAATAGAGAGGAAGTAAGAGGGAGAGAAAAAAATGCGTGTTAATTGAAAAAAAAAAGGAAGAAAACAGGATTTGAAGCCAGTTCTCTGGACTATATGTCCTATGCTCATACATAGATCCACAGGTTCATAGTGTTCAATCTGGAAGGGATTCCCAGGGGCGGTCAGTGACTTGACCAAAGTCATACAAGTAATGTGGTCAAAGGCAGGATTTGAATCCAGGTCTTCAGACTCCAATTCCAGTGCTCTTTCCACAGCACCCCATGCAATCCCCACACCACATGGCCTTTCTAAATTAAACTAAGCAGAGCCTGGAAACTCAAACTAAGATGGGGAGGAAGTGAAAGAGGGCTGAAAAAACCCCTTTTCCTTCCCCATACTCTGGTGTGCCCTGGCTCTTTTCCTGGCTCCGTCAGCTTTATGTCTCCCCCACCAGGCTCACCTCCCGAGGTTTGTCCATCTCGTGCTGCAGCACTTGCTTGGCCAGCTCCGCCTCGATCAGCCTCTGCCGGAGATCTTCGTTCTCCTCCTCCAGTCGGATTCTCTTCTTTTCCACGGCCTCCAGCTCATTATGCAGACGCACAGAGATGTCTTTGGAAACCTGCACACCCAGAGAAGAGACCAGGGTTGAGTGATCTGGGGTGGCCAAAGCGTCCGGCCACTCTCTAGGCCCCAGAGATGTACATGAGTCCTGGCTGCCTCTTCATATCAATGATCTCATTGTATTTTCTTAGGTCAGAGGGTTATAGATTTTAAAGAAGGAAGGATATTAGAAATTACTCAGTGTGACTGCCTCAAATTATAAATGAGGAAATGGAAACTGAAGCCCCGAAATAAGAATTATTTATCTAGGGTCACACAGGTAGTAAGTATCAGTTAAGGAAGCATCTTAAGAATCATTGTGTCCTGTACTCCAAGGAGGTCAGTGATCAAAAGAAAGGTCCTGTATACACCAAAATATTAAGGGCAGTGTTTTGGGGGTAACAAAGAGCTAGAAACAAAGTAGATGCCCATCAACTGGGGAATGGCTAAACAAAACATGGTATGTGAATATAATGGACTATTATTGTGCCAATAAGAAATGATGAACATGAAGAATGCTCATAGGAAGATTTACATGAACTGATGCAAAGTAAAGAAAGCAGGATCAGGAAGACAACTCAATACAGTGACCTCAAAAAAAAAATACAGTGACCTCAACAATGTTACTGTAAAGAAAAACCACAGTAACAAGAAAGTCAAAATGAAATTCTGTGTAATCAAATGACCAAGCCTGGCCTTGAGGAAGAAAAGAGTATACACCTCCTTCTCTTCTTTGCAAGGGGAGGGGGCAGTGTTATGAAGGGGGAACATAGCACATATTTTCAGGCTTGATTGATATGTTGATTGAATTCCTTTTTTTTTCTTTTTTTTTCCTTTGTTTCAAGGCATAATGCTCTGGGTGAGGAGGGATATATTGGGAAATGTAGTATAAAAACAAAAGTGAAACAATTTTTAGGTTAAAAAAAGATTATATTCACTTGACAGATGAAGAGACTTTGGTCCAGAGAAGTAAAAGAGATTTGATATGCTAAATACACACAAGGAATTAATGGCAGAGCTAGGACTAATCCTCTTCTGGGCCTGAAGAGTGACTCCACTTGCAACAGCAAGGTCTCTCACACTCCCCCAAAGTCTGCCTCACTGAGCCCCAAAGAGGATGGGGGGTTTTATGCAGGAATGGACTAAGGTTGCATCCATGCTCTACAACATGTACCTGGAGCTGGTCCTTAATAGGCATGAAAGGTGCCATTCCAAGGTCAGGAAAGAGGGGACAACTCTGACCGTTAGGTTATTTAGAAGCCAGGAGAGGCTTCATAGTTGAAAATATTTTCATCTTGATATTTTCAATGTCAAGACATTATTAATTGAAAACAAAAGCCCTCCTATAAATGCAGCCTTCCCTCCCCACCAATTCTGACCAGCTTCATGGTAATAATACTAACAGTTCATATTTCTATATTACTCATAATTCTATGTTAATTATGGTTTACAACGCCCTTTCTTCACATTATCTTGTGAAGCAGGCAACGAAAGCATTATTAATCACACCTTACAGGGGCAGCGAGGTGGTGCAGTAGATAGAGCACCAGCCCTGAAGTCAAAAGGACCTGAGTTCAAATCCGGCCTCAGACCAAACACTTGACACTTACTAGCTGTGTGACCCTGGGCAGGTCACTTAACCTCAATTGCCTAAAAACAAAAACAAACAAAAAAAACCCCAAAAACAAAAAAAAAATCACACCTTATAAATAGATGCTGAGGCTCAGGGAATTGAAAGCACTTTACTTAGTATCATATAGCCTGGGCAGCATCAGGCTTGGAGTCAGGAAGACGTGGCCTCAAACCCTATTAGCTGGGTGACACTTAACCTCTGTTTGCCCCCGTTTCCTCATCTGTAAAATAGGAGAAATAGTAGCACCTATCTCTCAGGTTTGTGGTGAGGATCAAGTGGGATAGTAATTGTAAAGTGTTTAGCCCAGTGCCTGGCATATAGTAAGCACTTAATGAATGTTGACTAACTGACTGTGAGCCATATCTGATTCCAAACCCACTGTATCAAAGACAGAAAAACTAACTTCATACCCTCTGCCAAGTAAGTGAATGTTTGAGAGGGAGATCTACTCAATCTGTATCTTGATTTAAAAGAGCCCTTCCAGGCACCATCTGAGGTTCTGAGTCCTTAACATAAACTTCAAAATCTGATCAAGATCCAGCTGCAGAGCACCAGCAAAGTTCCTGATGAATGGCTTTAGGCTTGGGGGGAAGGGCACTGGCCCTGCTCCAAACCACCTCTCTTGCTTCCCAATTTGGTTCTCTTTCCTAATGTTCCTCCCCCCGTCACAGCTTCCACATGCTCCTAAACTCTGCACAACAAAGAAATCAAACTACATCACACCTCTTAAACCTCCTTTGCTGGGCCCCTCAAAGCCAGTTTCTTCCCTCTGAGATTATCTCTAGTTTATCCTGGAGTTATCTGGTTTGTACAAAGCTGTTTGAACGCTGTCTCCCCCATCAGACTCTGAGCTCCTCGAGGGCAGGGGTGGTTTTTGCCTTTCTTTGTATCTTTGGCATTTAGTAGGCACTTAATATACCCTTCTTCTCTTGACTTAACTGAGACAGCATAGACCCCATAGAGCAACAAAAAGTCCTTTGGACTGGAGAAGCAAGAGAGCCAGGTTTTAGTCCTAGCTCACTGTGTGACCTTGGGCAAGTCACTTCCCCTTTATAGACCTCACTTTGCACATTTGTAAAAAGAGGGGGTTGGGGGGCAGCTAGTTGATTCAGTGAATAAATAGAGCTCTGGCCTTGGAGTCAGGAGGAAAAGAGTTCAAATCCAGCCTCAGACACTCGACACTTACTAGCTGTGTGACCCTGGGTAAGTCACTTAACCCCACTGCCTAGCCAAAAAAAAAAAAAAAAGAGGGGGCTGGATTAGATGCTCACTGGAGTCCCTCCAGCAATACAATTAGATGGTTCTGTGACAGAGGAGGCTTCTTTTCCAGTTAATTACATACATTCTGCACACCTGCTAGCCTGGCCTTCTTGCTCACACATGATATTTCATCTCCTGTCCCCATGCCTGGCACAAGCTGTGTCCCCCCTGGAATAAGTGATATCTTCACCTCCCAAAATCCTTGGTTTCTTTCAAAGCTCAGCTCAGGTATCACCTCCTACAAGAGGCCTTTTATGGCTTTCCCTGTTGCTAGTGCTCTCTCCCTGAAATTACCTTGTATTTGTTTTGTCAACATTTTCTCTTTAATCATATCTGTACATGTTGTTTATCCTTCTTGAGGGCAGGGACTATTTCATTTATTTCTTTGTATCTCTAGTGCCCCTACACAGTGCCCAGTACATAGCAGATGCTTGTTGCTTGACTGATTAATGACTGACTATAAAGTGACAATCCTGACTTTTGTGGATAGCTTGTGAAAGCAACCTCAGTGTTCTTCAGAAAGGTATGGTCTGGCAAAGCAGTGGAAAGAGCCCTGACCTTGGGGCTTAAGCTATGTGACATGGTCATTTCACCTCTGAACCTCAGCTTCACCATCTATAAGATGGAACTTAAAATACCTACCCCCTCCTTGTGAGGAAAATGCACTTTAAAAGATCATAAAGAGCTACAGAAATGGAAACTATTTTCATGATTAGAGTCAGGCAGAGCTGATTCTTTGAACTCAAGGCTAATTCTAGATGCACAGATAAATATATTCAATTAGGTAGTGAAGTAGATGGAATGCTGGGCCTGGAGTCAAGAAGTCCTGGATTCAAATCCAACCCCGGATGCTACCAGCTGTGTGACCTTGGGCAAGTCACTTACACTTGGTATGCCTCAGTTTCCTCAACCTTAAAATGGGGGTTATAATAGTACCTATCTAATATGGCTGTTATGAGGATCAGATAAGATAATAATTGTAAAAGTGCTTAGCACAGTGTTGGGACATAAGTAGGCATGTAGTAAACGCTTGATGATTATCATATAATATTGTGAATTGTAGTTTTCTATGTATGTATTTTATCCCTCTATTAGACTGTGAGCTCCATGAGGGCAAGAACTAAGTCTGATCTAAAGTCTCTTTCTAAACTTTATATTTCCCCCAGCACTTATCATAGTGTTTTGCATACAGCAGACCCTTAATAGATGTGCAGTGAGCTAAACCAAACTACTAAATTTTTCAGACTACAAAAATGTTTTCATTCATCATGGGCCTTGCTGAGATGTGGGTGGCCTGGACTGCTGTGGGTGGCTGGTAAGTGGAAGAGGCCTGAGGGCCTGTAAGGATAAGCTGGCAAGATAAATCAGCCTAAATCTCACTGGAAGCCCCCTTAAAACCAGTGTAGTCACCCTGATAAATCATGTCCCCCTCTATGGAAATCCTTCTCTCATCCTCTAAGAACTCCCTACGCCAACCTCCAGGTTTCCCTTGAAACAAGGCCCACATGGCCATTTCATCAAAGCTTCATTCCTGGATAGTGATGCTTCTCCCACGCCCTGTACAGGGATAAGGGCCACTAGAAGACATGTAGCAGGAATGTGATGAGGTCATGGTTTTCTAAGCCCTGAAGGAGGAGGAGGGAAGCAGCTGTCACAAGCTAGGGGATTAGCCAATTAAAATCCAAACATGCAAGGCAAGTCTCTGGATTAGGGACTGTTCTGACTTCCTGAGCCCCTAATCACAGTGCATGCCCTACACATGCCAGAGCCATCTCCTTGTGTGACCCAAGCTTCAACTCTTCCACTTACCAAATTCTCCTCCGGGAAATATGGCTCCTGGGAAGCAAAACTAAGGGGCTTAATAGGGAAAGAATTTCCTAAGAGATTTTTCTATCTTCAATATCTCAACTCCAATTCAACCTTTATATAATGCCTGAAGCATCTTCCTTACTCATAGATTTGACCATTTTGCTGCTCTGCTCAAAAATCTTCAATGGCTCCCTATTACCTATGGAGTAAAATTCAAATTCCTCCACCTAGCAGTCAGAGCCCTTCACAATTTGGTGCCCTCAGTCTCTCCAGCCTTATTTTCTATCACTGTCATCCCTCCATTCACTTTAGAGTCTGGTTAAACTGGGTAACTCTGCCCCTTAAACATATCCTATGTACCCTGCCTTTGCTTACATTGCCCCCTCTCCATGGAAAATGTTTCTTCCCAATTTCACCACTAAGTTGTGAAATTTAATATACTTTTTTTTTTCAAAACAAGCTGAACATAAGAGAAAGTCATGGTTTCATGTCCGATCTTCTTTTTTTGTTCTTTCTACATTGAAATGTTTGTGGACAATGTTAAGTTCATTTTTTTTTGAAGTGCTTGTTTTTTTTTTTTAAGAGAAGGGGCTTCCTCTTTCTCTTTCCTTGCAGTATTCCTACCTATCCTTAAAGTTCAACTCAAATGCAATCTCCACCAGGAAGCCTAGCCCCTTGGCCTTCAAAATGCTCTTTTCCTCTGCACAAAGCAAAAGGAGGATAGCAGATACTACGCCTAGGTCCAGAGAGGCCAGGAAGGTATTTTTACCCAAAGTTCTGTGCACCCTACCCGCCCTACCCCCCCCAATCTCAATAGTTCATATTTAGAAGAAAACAGGCAAGAAATGCCTGGATGGAGAGAAGTGCTCCAATCTGAGATTCAGCAGCCTCTTTAGCAATAAATGCTATTCCCAAGTATAAATAATGCTGACTGAGTTGGGAACAGGAGGAGAGAGGAGAAAATGACGGAAAGAAGAGTGGAGGAGGAGAGGAGAGGATATAGGGAGAGGACAGGACAGGAGAGAAGAGAGAAGAGAATGTAACAAAACATTTTTAAGTATTTCCTGCATGAGGAGTACTGAATACAGACAAACAGAGAAGTCAGAGGTGGAAAGGAGTAGCTTCTGGTACCAGTTCCTCAATGCCCACTCTTAAAAGAGTCTGCCATGATAGATGCCCATCCTTATAGGAATCTAGCCTGAAGAGATATAACTAGAACCCAACATACTAATAGGTTAGAATATTCACTACATCTTAAATATGCCATGTTCTACTTTATCCCTAATAGGAAAAACCCTCCCACAGGATCTCTACCTAGAGAGATCTTTCCCACCCTGAAAACTTGTCCTAACTCCTGTCCTCTCCTCTTAGTCTTCCCTGCCCATCCTATTCCTCAGCAATCTCTCTCTATCTCCTCTGAAGTCCTAAACATTTTTTGTCATTTGCTTGTACTTTTTTTGTACCTTGTACTGTTAGCTAACTTTTTATGGGCGAATATTTAATCTCCCCAAGTAGGTTTTAAACCCTCTAAAAGCAAAGAGTAGGTCTCAAAACTTGCTCAATATCCCTCACTGCATCTAGCATGGGAAGGCAGCCTTCCCTAAAGAACATGATCAACACAAAATGGTCAATTGATGGACTGTTTAATAATACCTGGAACGCCTAGCATATCAGGTGTGCTACCTAGGACAGTGCATCAAAAGCATACAATAAAGAGGGGGCATGGAAGGACAGAGATAATTGAGGGGACACTCTGGAATTACTAAGCGACGCTCAGCCTGGGCTCAATGGAAATTAGGCAAAGGAGACAGTACCCAGCCCAAACGTGATCCGCTAGGTGAGAATCCTCAGTCAGCATACTCTCAAACTCAGAGTAAATGTCATTGTCAGGAACAAGGGTGAGAGGGGATGCCCTTCCCAGAACAAGGCTGGGCATATTTCCAATGGGCCACAACACTAGGCAGTGTCTCAGGCTCTAGCTACTGTGGCAATTTTCTTACTTGATCCCCAAGAAAAGCAGGTTCTATCACACACCAGCTGGGGAATGCATTATTATGCTTTAGGCTGGTCATGTCCTGTATCCCAGGAGGGATTCTCAGAGTGCCTGAGCTCCAGAAATCTAATGAACAGGTACCCTGCAGGCTGGGATCTAGCCACTCTCTTTACCTACTGAATTTCTCTCAATCTTTTAAGCTCAGCTCAAATGTCAGTTCCTCCAGGAAGCTTTAGAAGTCACACTGGCTCTGGATCCAGGTGATCTGGGCTCAAAACTCACTTCTGGCAGGTATATTTACTACCTGTGTACCTTGGAACCTTGGGCAAATAACTTAACCTCTTTGGGTAACGATTTTCCCATCCATAAAATGAGAAGGTTGGGCTAGGTGGCCTGGGGGGGCTCCTTCCAGCTCTAAATCTATGAACTTATGATCCTTTTCTATCCCTGATCCCCCAAGTGATGAACTCCCCCCTCAGACCTAATACAACACTCTGTACCTCTCAAATGTATTTACTAAATATATCATGTATTACTGTTACATAAATTTGTCTTGGCCCACTAGAATGTAAGGTTCACGAGGGCAGGGACTGTGTCTTATCTAAATTTTCTATCCCCTGGTTCCTAGTATAAGGAAGCATTTAATAAATGTTTGATGAGTGAATGAATGAAGTGAATGGGTAAGAGCTCTCTTCCTGATGACTCACCTTGACATCCTGCTCCAGGCTATGAATGAGCTCCCCATCCACCTGGCCTGTCTGGGCCACTCGGAGGCTGCGTCGTTCTGCCTTGCGTAGACGGTACTGCAGGATGCGACAGGTCTTGCTGGCTTGGTCCAGTTGCTGTCGGAGCTCCTGAAGCTGGTAGACATCCTCCTCCATGTAGACATCCCGCATCTCCAGCATCTCCGCCCGCAGCTCCTCGATCTCATCCTAGAAAGAGGAAGGTAAAAGCTTCAGTCCTGCAGTGTTCCCTCTGTCCTGATCACCGTTTCCTAGCTGGCCTCCCTTCTGTCTCCCTACCCCTGCACAGCTGGGCCTTCTCCACAGCCAGAGTTACTGAGCCTTGGTAGTATGTTGTGCCTACAACTACGATGGGGCAGGGGGTGGAAGGGCCTGAAAAAATGGAAAAGCAAGAGACCGAGGCACAAAGGAGGTTTCAATCTAATTGGGAGAGAAGTTCAGAAACACAAAACAGAGGAAGCATGTTGTGGTCTAAATAGCTCTGGACTTGGCACTGGGCTACTTAATCAATCTCTCTGAGCCCATTTCTTCATCTGTAAAAGGGAGGTAATGATATCTGTACAATCTACCTCATTAGGATGCAGTGAGGAAAGTGCACTATAAACTCAAGGGACTCTAGAAATTATAATTTATTCATAAGAAGAAAATATATAATCAAAGTTAGCATCACAGGACTTGGAGCTCGAAGGGTCCTTAAAGACCATCTAAGCAAATACTCCTTATTTCATGGAGAAGGAAACTAAGGCAGAGAGAAGGGAAATGACCTGCCCAAAGTCAGTCAAGAACTGAATCCAGATGTTTTGAGTTCAAGTTCAGGGGTCTTTATCAGGCCCTATGATTCCTCTTCATTCCTGCAAAGATCCACAAGTTCCTCTCAGTCAGGTATTCTTAACCTCTTTTCTGTCGTGGATTCCCTTGAGCAGTTTGGGGAAGCCAAGACCCCATCTCAGAATCACATTCTTATTTTTAACATGTGTTTTTAAAACTTTGGGTTACAAATTTTCTCCTTTCCTCCCTCCCCACCCACCCTCATTGAAAAGGCAAGCATCTCGATACAAGTTAAAGATGTGTAGTCATGCAAAATACTTCCACAGTAGTCATGTTGCGAAAAACTAAGTGTATTTCCCTTCATCCTATCCTACCCCCCATTTGTTCGATTCTCTCTTTTGACCCTGTTCCTCCTCAGAAGAGAATCACATTCTTAAATGCATAAAGTAAAAACAGATAGGATTACAAAGGAAACCAATTCTATAGCAATATAGTTAGAAGAGATTTACAAAAAAAAAAAAAAGCTTGCAGACCTCAGGTTAGGTACCCCAATCTAGGCGAATTTCATAGCCCTCCCAATGCCAATCAGAGCTCATTTCCAAGAACAGCAGCTCAGTTTACAGACAGTCCTCCACCACTCCCTGCAGCCCAAGCTTATCTCTTGCTCCCTCCCAGACTCTAAAATTCTCTTTGTATCATTCTGGTCAGAACCCTATTCTACACACCAATGGGAAGAGTGAGAAACCAAAGCTGGAAATGAGAAGAGGAAGTGAGATAGTTTATATCGTTTCAAGTTGGAGAAGTAAGGAAAAAGAAATAATACACAGTATCCCAGGAAGGAGATAACAGTTACTTGCCTAGGACAACCTTGATGGAAAGGAAGGATGGGTCAAAACAGTTACCAGGTCTGGAGCGTGCTAGATATTGGGGGGTAGGGAAGAAGACAGACTAGACACCTGACATTAAGTATTTGAAGCGTTATCTTGGAGAAGAGGGGTCAGACTCGTTTGGCTTGACCACCAGAAGTAGAACTAAAAGCAACATTGACAGTTATAGGGTAGGGCAGCTAGGTGGCATAGTGGATAAAGCACCGGCCCTGAATTCAGGAGGACCTGAGTTCAAATCTGACCTCAGACCAAACACTTGACACTTATTAACTGTGTGACCCTGGGCAAGTCACTTAACCCCAATTGCCTAAAAAAAAAAAGTTATAGGGAATTAGACTTCAGCTTAGTAATGATATAATAACGACTTCTAGCAGTTACAGCAGTCAGGAAAAGGAATGGAACTTCCTCTCGAAAAAGTGAATCTCACCATCCTTGGAGGTGCCTATTCAAGCAGAAACTGGATGACCACCTGCACTGGAAGAGAGGTTAGACTCAAAGTCCTCCAAAGTCCCTTCTACCTTTGAGACATCTGATTGTCTCCACTCCTTAGCAGGAGAGAAAAGAGCTGGGGTCCAGAGAAGAGAAAACATCCAAGAAGTATGAGTGTGTGTGTCGGGGCAGCCAAGGGCATCAAAAGCTACAGGCAGGTCAAGAAGGAGAAATGAGAAAAGGTCATTCACTTTTACGGACTGGCAATTACAAAATCAATAGTAGCCTTGGAGAGAGCTGTTTCAGATGAGCAGAAGAGTTGGAAGCCAGACTACAAAGGGCCTGAAAAGTGAGTGGGAGGTGAGGAAATGGGTGTAAATGATTCTTTCTAGGAATTTGGCTGTGAGGAGGGGTGTAGGATGATGAAGAGGTAGCAGGGTCAAGTAAAGATTTCTTTCTTTTTTTTTTTTTTAGAAGAATGGGGGAGGCGTGGGTATGTTTATAGATTGAGTTAGCTTTTTTTTTTTTTAGCAGCTACATTACATTGTTGAGAACACTGTAATCAACCCAAATCCCCACATCTTTTTTCATGACTGTTTCCAAGCTAGGTCTCTCCCATTCTGTATTTATATGATTGATTTTTTTTTTCTAATCTAAAGTGAAGGACTTCCATATTAAGTCACTTCTGGTTCTTGCTTGTTAAATTTCTTATTGGTTCTGACCTAGCCATTCTCCTGAGCTTTACTCCCTGGCGCCCCAGGAATGGGTGGGCTCTTGGCTCTACATGGAGAAGCTAGCCAGCTGCAGTCAAAATCTAGGTCAGCAGAGCCTGGCACCGCTCACCATGTGAGGGGACTGAATCGACAATACGGGGCTTGTGGCTGTCACAGGCTATGTGTCTGGCAGACAATCCCAGGGTCTGTGCTGGATGGGTTCCCCCCAGTCTCCGGGTGATGGAGGACAAACAGAGAAGCTCACACGAAGAAGGAGAGGGGAGCTGGGGAGCCCCGTGAAGAGTTCTTAACATTCAGTGGGAGCTCTCAGGGAGGGGAAGGCCAGACAGCTGAAGGCAGGTCTGATCAGTGGCAGCTAATGCTCGTCTGAGTTCCTCTTTCTCAGCTGTGAAGTGACAACCTTTGGGTATATCATTACAAGGTCCTGAGGGTGTCACTACTTCTGGGTTACCTTGATTCCCTTTGACAAACTGTGGCCAGTGCTGGAGGGAGTGACAGCCACTGAGAAGAAAGGAGTAGGTCTGGCTCTAGGGAATGCCTGTAAGGCCAGTTCTTTGGAGCTATACTTCCCTTTAGTGAACCCTGAAGTACCTACTATGTTAAAAAAAGGACCTTCAAGTGCATAGATAAGACACAGGTCCTTGCCTCAGGGAACTTATCATCTAACAGTGAAGATGAAACAAAATACATAATAATTTTCATACAAAGGAGAATGAGGTAAGCAAAAAGAACATGAGACAAAGTGTTTATGAAACATCTGAGGTGAGAACACTTTCAGCTTGGTGAATGGAGAGGGTAGGAAGAATCAGGCAAGGCTTCCTGGAGAAGGTAGCATCTGAGTTTGGCCTTGAGGAAAGGGAAGAAATTCACCAAATTAATCAGTCAATCATTTATTAAGGGGTAGCTAGGTGTTGCAGTGGATAGAGTGCCAGGCCTGGATCCAAGAAGTCTCATCTTCATGACTTCAAATCCAGTTTCAGACACTTATTAGCTGTGTGACTCTGGGCAAGTCATTAAACCCTGTTTGCCTCAGTTCCTTCATCTGTCAAATGAGCTAGAGAAGGAAATGGCAAACCAATCCAATATCCTTGCCAAGAAAACTCCAAATGGGGTCATGAAGAGTTGGGACACAACTGGAAACAACAATAGTGTCAGGTACAGTGCTAGGCACTGGGAATATACATACTTTAAATGCAAGACAGTTCCTGCTCTCAAAAAGCTTACATTCTACTGCATAGAGATTAGGGGAAGAGGAATATAGTTTAAGGATAGCAGACAGAATGAACCAAGGAGAAGAAGCAGGCAGAATGGAGGATAGGGAAGGGGAAAGAAGAGTATTTCAATTTGGCTGGAACAGAGAGTACATGAAGTATGAGATAAAGTTGTCCGGGAGGTTGGAGCTACGCTATGGAAGGCCTTGAATGACAGAGTCAGTACTCTAATGCTGCTACTTTTTATTTTCTACACTCTGATCCAGTCCAACTGGACTTCCTGCTGTTCTTCACATGTGATGTCCTTTCATTTCCCATCTCCATGTCTTTCTGCTGGCAGGCTCTCCCCTCGCCCCATTCTTTCCCCCAGGCCCCACTCCTGGAATGAACTCCCTCCTCACCTCTGCCTCTTCTAATTCTCTAATTTCCTTCAAAGATCAGCACAAGCACCATCTTCTACATGAAGCCTTTTGCAATTCTTTTGAGCTCATACCTCCCCCCTGTAAAAAAATTACCTTATATTGATTTTGTATATACTTATAAATGTACATGCCATCTTCTTTTTCAGAAGAACATAGCCTTCTTGAGGGCAGGATGATGTTTCATCTTTATCTTTGTACCCTCAGCACCTGGCACATAGTCAAGTGCTGAATAAATACATGTTGGTTTCAGTTTTTCAAAATTTGGGAAATCAAAAGTTTCTGAGTCTCATTGTTCTCATCTTTAAAATGGGGAATCATGATACTTTTACAACCCAATTCCCTCACAAGTTGTGAGGGAAATGTTTTGTCATTCCTCAAGTCCTACTGAAATGTGAGCTCTATTTTTATAATGTATTATATTAAATCGCAAAACACAGTGCTATGTGAAGCCCAAGAAGGAAGGTAATTACTGACCAGAAGAACCAGGAAGGAAACATATGGCAGGAGACAGCACTAGGGTTACAGGGGACTTAAAGAAGAACATTTGCTCTCTCTGTGAGGCTAAGCATGTCACCTAAGCTCAGGGCCTTAGTTCCCTACCACGTAAAATGAGGTGTTTGAGTTAAATGATTTCGAAGGGTCCATGCATCCAGCTCTTTACAATCTACAGTATTGATTCTGGACAATTAAGTAGCACAGTGGATAGAGCATTGGGCCTGGAGTCAGGAAGACCTGAGT